TGTGTGTGTGTGTGTGTGTGTGTGTGTGTGTGTGTGTGTGTGTGTGTATGTAAAGTGAATAAGTAATTAATAATAATAATAAAAAGAGGCCACAGTCTGCTTGATGTAGTGGCACATGCCTTTAACATCAGCACTTGGGACGCAAAGGCAAGAGGATTTCTGTGAATTCAAGGCTAATATGGTCTACAAAGCAAGTTTCAGACCAAGCCAGTGCTACATTGTGAGACCCTGCCTCAGAAACAAACAAACAATGCTAACAAAAGAAGCCACAGTCCCTACTCTTGGGCCATGACTTCAGCAGTTTGCTCTGCTCTGGCCTCCTTTCTCTTCCTTCCTTGCTTATTTCCTGCCTCAGAACCTTTGTTCTGGTTGTGCCTTCAAGCCTGCATGAGTTCCCTAATCTTTATATGGTGAGCTTCTTCTCACAGGCCAGAGCTAGGCTTACACATCATCTGTCACCCCAGAGGAAGGCCATCAGCCCGTAGTAAGATCTTCCTCCTAACCCGTCACCTTTGTCGTGTTATTTTGTTCTTCCTTTCTCTGAAGCATTGTGATCTAAAAGGAACCTATTTATTCAGTTAACATTTTAGTACCTCCCCCCACCCTGTGACCCTGGGATTTCGTGTCTTGTTTGTTTCTGCCCCTAGTGCCTGGGTTATCAAGTGAGTCATAACAAAACTGGGTTAAATGAATGTGGTTATCTGAGCGGGTGCTGTTTGTCCACTCAACTGTGCTCTGCCACTTACCAAGCAAACCCTCTAGCTAGCCCTGCCCCACCATCCTTGGAGGGAGGGAGCCATACTGGAGATAGGACCCTTCCTGGAACTGTTTGCCCTTCCCCTCAGATTGGTTCTCAGAACTGCAGCTGTCTTAGCTAAACGTTTCAGCTGTCACTTCAGGACTCAGGTTGCTTCTGCAGCTGTTGCTTGCCTGAGTGCTGACCCTCCTCCCTAGAGGGCTGTTGCTTTTGAAGCGTAAACCTGGTTCTTTCTGTGTTATGGGTGGAACTGAAAGCCATTGGAGCCATGCAGAGTCCTCAGTCATTAGAAGCCACAGGTTAGGGCAGGAGAGAGAACTCAGGAGTTCCCAGTACTGGCTGCTCTTCCAAAGGACCCAGGTGTTCAATTCCAAGCACCCACATGGCAGCACACAACTGTCTGTAACTTGAGTCCCAGGGATCCAACACCCTCATACAGACACATATGTAGGCAAAATACCAATGTACAAGAAATAAAAATAAATAAATGAGAAGCCACAGATCCAACACCCACACGACAGCTCACAACTTCTGTAACTCCAGTTCCAGGATTCCAACACTCACACAGACACATATGTAGGCAAAACACCAAGGCACATAAAATAAAAATAAATAAATTAGAAGCCACGGGTCTCTTTTACTCCACTTTACAACCCATACATAATATATACACTAGCAACTGTGTATAACGTTCAACACAAACTTTATAAAAACTCAGCTAAGCAAACAAGCACATGCCTTTAATCCAGAACTTGGGAGGCAGAGGCAGACAGATCTCTGTGTGTTTGAAGCCAGCCTAGTCTACATAGTTACAAAGCAGCCAGAGCTACATAGTGAGACCCTATCTTGAAATCCCCACCATCAAAATAAGTCAATTAAAAAAATAAAAATTCAAAAATGTTGACATTTCTTGTAATTCCCTATTGTAGAGAAAAAATAAATTACTTTTCTTGTTGTTGGGACCAAATGTGTTACAAGGAACAACGTAAGAAGCAGGGTTTTTTGCTCAGAGTTGGAAGGAAAGGTCTGTCATCAGGGACATGAGGCCAGTGGTCAAGCAGACAGGAAGTGGGGCTAGGCTATAAAGCCGCAACGGCTGCCCAGTGACCCGCTTCTGTTGGTGAAACTTCACTTCCTAAAGGTGCCAAGGCACCACAGTTTGGGACACCGTGTGTAATGGCTTACACTAACAAGAGCATGAGCAGTGACCTCCTTGTGCATCAGTAAATTTAATCTTTGTGCCAAGTCTGACTTCCCTGTATCTGCACACAAGAAAACTAAAGCACAGCCGGGGAGCGATGGTGGCACACGCCTTAGTTCCAGCACTCAGGAGGCAGAGGCTGGCAGATCTCTTGAGTTTGAAGCCAGTCTGGTCTACAGAGTGAGTTCCAGGACAGTCACAGCTACACAGGGAAACCGTATTTCGAAAACTGGAGGGGGGGGCTAGGGGAAGGAGGGGGTAGGGAGAGAAGGAAAAGGAGGAGGAGGACAACAACAACGACAACACATCGACACAAAATACTTGCCCAAATTTGCATTAGTGCCAGCTCAGTCTGAGTCGATAACAAACAGATCCAAAAATTTACACAGACACAAAATGGCTTCTTTCTCATTTGTGTAAAAGCAGCTCTGAGTAGGCTGATACCTTGTGTCTTTGAAGTCATCCAGAAACCTGCTACCTTCTGTCCTGTTACTCTATCACCTCCTAGGACTGCACTGACCACGGTTCCAGTTATGGCTCCCAAGCAGTCCCCTTGCAGGGCAGGATGCAGTTATAGGTGGTCATTATTTCTGGTGCTCATTTCCCATTGGCTAGGTGTGGTAACGTGGCCACACCTAGCTGCAAGAGAAGCTACTCGGTGATTCCCTTTGTGATTCTGACTGTGCATCCTGCTAAAATCTGGAGTTGGTGATCTTCATACTTGAAGGAAAGGGGAAGAATAGGTTCTGGGTACAGTTAGCAGTTCTTGCAAGAGAGCTAGTGAGTGGTGAGACCAGGATCTGTGCCCAGGTGAGCAGTATGCTCCCAGCCCAGCCGTTCCTCTTTACCCTGCCCCCTGTTCTCCTACCAGGTGGATATCATGCAGATGTGCATCATTGAGCTGAAGGACAGACAAGGCCAACCCCTCTTCCACCTGGAGCACTACATCGAGGGCAAGTACATCAAGTATAATTCCAACTCAGGCTTTGTCCGTGATGACAACATCCGACTAACACCACAGGTGAGGCTCTGGGCTTGCTCTACCCACACTTTCACCCTCCAGCCCCTTGGAAAAGCTCAACCGTAGAGAGGGAGAGCCCTGTGGGTGGAGCCTTACATCCTCAAAGGCTCCTCACGTCCATTTGGAACATATGTGATCCCAGGGCTGCAACATGCTAGATATTCTACCTGTCCTACCACAGAATAGTATGCCCAGCTCCTAAACAAGACTTCCCTGCCCTTTTCTATTTCCATATGTATGTCTGCAGTATGCATGTTTGTATTTATACCTGTGTGTGTGTGTGTGTGTGTGTGTGTGTGTGTGTGTGTTTGGGCCTACATGATTATGAGAATCAGCCTTAATCATTCTTCCACCTTATCCTTTGAGACAGGGTCTCTTAATCAACCCCAGAGCTCACTGATATGGCTAGTCTTTCTAGCCAGCTTGTTCTGATGATTCCATCCCCACCTTCTAAGGCTGATTCCCTGAGGTATTTGCTGAGTTGGTTAGACAAATCCAGACATCCTTCTTATGTCTTTTACACTATAAAACTCTTCTTGCAGAGAGCGCCCTCAACAGGACTGACTTCAGTATTATAGCCTCTGGCACAACAGCTGGCCAGCCTATTCCCAGTCCCAAACTGATCTGTTTACAACTGTCTTCTCTTCCTGCCCTGATACAGGCCTTCAGCCATTTCACATTTGAACGTTCTGGTCACCAGCTGATTGTAGTGGACATCCAGGGTGTGGGTGACCTTTATACTGACCCACAGATCCACACTGAGAAAGGCACTGACTTTGGAGATGGTAACCTTGGTAAGTAGGGAGAGCCAGCCATGTGCTCAGGGACCATGTCCCTTAAACGGTGCTAGTTCTTTCTACATCCAAGGGGACATACTAAGACATACTGGGCCTTCTGTAAGATATATGGGTGGGAACTTGGCTTGTCTGATCCCCAACCACTTCAGGTCAGCATTTCCCCTGCCTGGCCTGGCCACATTTCTAGTGCCCCCACTGTCCTTTGTCACAGGGCAAAAGTAAGATGCCATCCTCCCTGTTCTGCCTGCAGGTGTCCGGGGAATGGCCCTCTTCTTCTATTCTCATGCCTGCAACCGTATTTGCCAGAGCATGGGCCTTGCGCCCTTTGACCTCTCCCCACGGGAGCAGGATTCAGTGAATCAGAGCACCAAGCTATTGGTGAGTACTCAGTGGCAATTTGCTCGACTGGCTAGTTCTGCCACAAGAAGGCAGGCCCTGTTTCCTGTGGGATGACATTAGCTTGGTTTTGGCGTATTTATGACCAGTGTGAGGAAAACAGGCAGAAACAGAAGTGACAGGGAACACGCATGTGTGTGTACTTGTATATGCTCGCACATGCACCTGTGCACACATGTGTACTCAGGTACCTGTGTACACATATGTGTGTGTATGTGTGCATTAACAAATGACTAGACCTGGCCCTCTGGGCCTGCCCAGTGTGTACTGTGGGACCACTTACTCTTCTTACAAGAACCAATTTAGGAGACTACTAGTAAAAACCAGTCTTAGCCTCTTGGGTGGTGTACATTGGGGTGTACTTCCAGCTCAAGCCTGTGGAACACAGCTGGTGCTTTAGGAAACACAGGCTAGTAGCCCCTTGGAGATCTATCCATTTGCCCCTTCTTAGATACCATAGGGTTAATCCTGAGCTGATTTTTTTTTAAGATTCCCTATTAGGCATGTATAAAAGCCATGGATAAAAAGTCTTCAGGATTCCAAGGAGCCCTCCATTCCCTATAGCATGCTTTTGTGACATGAATCCCCCATTAATGTCACCAGCAATCAGCCAAGACCATCTTGAGGGGGACAGAGGAGAAATGTGGGAGCCCCCGAATAAGGACACTCTCTGGCAGCCGGCCCCCCTTGCTCCTTCGCCTGTCAGAGAACTCTGGGGATGAGAACATTAGTGATGTGACCTTTGACTCTCTGCCTTCCTCCCCGTCTTCGGCCACACCACACAGCCAGAAGTTGGACCACCTCCGTAAGTCATGGTCTGGTCCCTTGGATACTGTGATCATAGTAGGTAGGCACAAGGTAGAACGTGGTAAGAAATGAAACAGTTGAGCCCAGATGGCTTAAAAAATAATAAAGTACCAACAAGTAAAGACTATTGGTCCATCATGATCAACTCTGAGAATCATTCTGCGCTAGAAAATCTGTTAATAATATATCTATAGCTGAAAGAGAAAAGCTGAGGCTGGCAAGATGGCCCATTGGAGAGAGGCGTTTGCTGTAAAATACTTTAAAGATTTTAAAAAAGCTATTAGCCATCTCTATGAATTGTGTGTGCATGGGTGTGTGCTGGGGATTGAACACAGGCCTCATTCTTGTTTTGGTTTATTCTATACCATTGAGTTCTCCCCAGCCTGCAGACTTAATAAAAATGGTCAGCCCTGCTGAGTGTGGTGCCCATACGTTTATCCCAGCACTTGGGAGACTGAAGCATGTGGATGTCTGTGAGTTCAAGACCAGCTTGGTCTACATAGTGAGTTTCACAAACCAGAGAAACATAGTGAGATCCTGACTCAGAAACCAAACAGTAACAACAACAACACCACTACAACAATAGGTCAGCCAGGCATGTAGGCTGCAGCTTGCTTAGAGCAGGAGAGAGAAAATGGTGACAACCAGGAGAAAGTTGGCTTAACAGCCATGTGCTACCCACACTTTAGGCCCCACAGAGACAGGTGGCTTCTCCATTGTCTCTACACTTTCTTCAGAGCTGATGTGCTGGTCAGCACGATATATGTGAAGCTGTGCACACGCAGAGGTGCAGATCCAGGGACTGTCAAGTGGCAGACTCAGAAAGGGTTGTGGTTCTTCAGTAGTGCCACAGTCCTTTTCCCATGTTGTGCTTCTCTTTAAAAATCAAAAGTAAAATGTTGGGCATAGTGGTGCACACTTATAACCCCAACACTTGGTCAGCTGAGACAGGAGGATTGTCAGGAGTTGGGCTACATATTGAGGTTTGGTGCAGGTGCTGAAGGCAGGTCATGTGCAGCTCTTGGGCGTGTCTTACATCACTTTTGCTTGTCCCTGCTCAGATTGGCCAGTGTTTGGTGACCTCGATAACATGGGCCCTAGAGACCATGACCGCATGGACAATCACCGGGTGAGTGGGGAGGAGGGAGGCTGCCGGCTGCCATCTGTTCGGAATCATCACTTTGACCAGATGGTATTTAAAGAGCTTTGATTTCTTTTTTTAAGATTTATTTATTTTATGGATATAAGTACACCGTAGCTGTCTTCAGACACCAGGAGAGGGTATCAGATCCTGTTACAGATGGTTGTAAGCCACCTTCTGGGTGCTGGGAATTGAACTCAGAACCTCTGAAAAGAGCAGTCAGTGCTCTTAATTGCTGAGCCATCTCTCCAGCCCTTGCTTTCTTACTGAACTCTCAGAATGAATGAGATAGATTTTTTTCTTATCTCCTTTATAAATAGATTTTATTCTAGAATTAGATGGGGGCTGAGGATGTACTCAGTGGTAAGAGAGTGCTGTCCTACCATGCATGAAGCCCTGAGTTCAATCCCCAGTGCCACAGAAACTAAGTATATTGGTGTACATCTGTCATCCCAGCACTTGTGGAGGCCAGAGGCTCACAAGCTCAAGGTCATCTTGGTGACATAGTAAGTTTGAGGCCAGCCTGGGCTATATGAGCCCTTGTCTCAAACCAAACACAGAGACTATCTAAGTAAATGAGGAAAGACTGATCTCATTCACTGTTTCCTAGGGTTTGGCCCCAGGTTATTCGGTTTCTTTAATGTTGTGTGATGACACAGAACACAGTGGCAGAAGTTGCTCACTTCATGGTGGCCAGGAAACGGGGGTGGGGGGGGCAGCAAAGAGGACAGAAGGATCTGGGGATAAAAGGCATTTGAAGGTATATTTAGTAGTCTCCTTCTTCCAACCAGGCCCCACAGTAATAACCATTCAGCTATGATCTTGTTGGTGAACACTATTGATGAGGTTAGCGCTCTCAGGACCCATTCACCTATCACCTAGCCGGGGACCTTCAGGGGCACATTTTATACCAAACCATAACATAAGATCATCTTCTTTCTGCAGGACTCTGAGAACAGTGGAGACAGTGGATACCCAAGCGAGAAGCGAAGTGACCTGGATGACCCTGAGCCCCGAGAAAACGTAAGCACCCAGGACGCTGATCTGAGCCAAAGAGCTCTGTTGCCTCACCTGTTATCTATAAGGATAAAAGGCTAACAGGCCAATGAGAGCTGGCCCTAAGAACACATAACAGTAAGACGGCAAACCAGATTTCAGACAGAGACAAATGCAGGAAAGAAGGGGAAGTGCAGAGACATGGCCAGAGGAAAAACTAACCATTTCCCCAGTGGCTTCACACCAACTCTGGAACCCTGGGGTCAGTCAGTCTCTTCACACACAGACAGGAAGACTATGAACTCAGCAGCTCACTGGGAAGCAGAGGACTAGTGTTCCTAGAGGAGGGGTCCTGGGAGGGCTGGTCCTGCTCCCCAGGAATAGGCTCCCTGCTACAGTCCTTCAATCTCTGCTCCCTTGCAGGGCCACTCCAACGGCAACCGAAGGCCTGAATCTGATGAGGATAGCCTGGGCAGCTCTGGACGGGTAAGCACACAGAGGGACAGACCTGACTCTTCCAGCTCTTCCTGTGCCCTGCTCTCTTCCTGACACACTGCCTGCCCCTTCCCCAGGTTACCCCAATACTCCAGGATGTGTTCCTTATCTGAAATACCTGAGCTTAGAAATGTCTTGGATTTCAGATTAGTTTTCCATGTTTCATGTGTGTTCATTTGTGTGTGTGTGTGTGTATGTGCGCGTGTAAGTGTGTTATACAGGTTTTGCATGTGTATGGGTATACATATGGAACCCACGGTTGATATTGGAAATCATTCTTTATTACTCTTACACCTTATTCTTCAAGGGAGGGTCTCTCAATCAAACCCAGAGCTCACTGATCTGGTTAGTCTTACTAGTTATTCTGCTCTGGGGATCATGACTCTAGCTTCTCAAGGGTCTGTAATTAAGGCAGGCTGCCGCTCCTACCAGGCTTCTGAGTAGGAGATCCCTCCTCATAGTTGTACAGCAAATACTTGAACCACTGAGCCATCTTCCCAACTTCAGATTTTAGATTTAAAAAAAAAAAAAAAACCAGGGCGTGGAGGATACTTGCATGTACATAGTTAGACAACTTGACAGGGGCACAAAGTCTGACCATGAGACTCATCGTGCATGTTTCATGCATATTTAAAATATGAAGGCTGAGAGTAACTTTACACACTACTTTCAGTGCGCTTGTCTTTGAGCTACTGTGTATATGACAAGTGTCTCAGACATGTCAGGAAAGGCCAGCCCTACTGCTCATGTTACTTTAGTTCTCAAACACGTGAACCTCATACTTCTCCATGTTTGGTAAGTTGGGTCTCTCCTGCCCTCAGAGTCCTTCCTCCCCTAATGCCTGATTACCAGAGGCACCTTCTAAGCCCAGATCACCCCAGTGTCAGGACTCTGTCCTCTGCTCATGGTCTCAGGAAGCCTTCTCACCCTGGAGTAGGACAGAGTTGCTGTTGGCTCTGGGATGGGTCCATCTTGCCTGGTGGCTTCAGGGCATTTAGCTGCCTGTGTTCTGTGATATGTCTCATTGATGTTGTGTATTTCATCATGGTTAAATTGAGGGAGGGAGGGAGGGAGGGAGGGGGGAGGGAGAGACAGAGAGAGACAGAGAGAGACAGAGAGAGACAGAGAGACAGAGAGAGAAAGTAGATTTGTGGGAGTCAGACTTTCCAGGTGCCTGGTGTGAGGAAGAGCTTAGGAGAAGGCTTAGCATCAAAGCTCAACTGCAGCACCAGGCCGATAAATGAAGGGGTAGGTTCCACAGGGCTGCTATAGCCTGTTCTGCTGGTCATTGCGTCTTGTTACTGCCCTCTACCCATGAGTTGGTGGCAATGGAATAATTAGAATTAGAGCCCCGTAGTGTGTGGGGTGCTTATTTGTAATCCCCACACTTGAGAGGCTGAGAAAGGAAGATCCTGAGCGCAGGGCCAGCCAAGGAGACATAGTGAGTGCAAGGTCCATCCCAAGCGCATTGTCAGAAACAAACTGAAGGAGTTGGAGCCATGCTTGTCCAGTGAAGTCTGATGCCATCGGGGTTCCTACCCCCCCTTGCCAGCCAGCCTCTTGATGTCCTGGCTGCTTACTTCTGTGACAGCACATCCAGTCCCGGCCCATCACTTCTCTGGCCTTTAAACTCCACCCACCTGGTCTCTCCCATCAGGTCTGTGTGGAGACGTGGAACCTGCTCAATCCCTCACGCCTGCACCTGCCGAGGCCCTCGGCCGTGGCCCTAGAAGTGCAAAGGTTAAATGCTCTGGACCTTGGAAAGAAAATCGGGAAGTCTGTTTTGGGGAAGGTATGGGTGATACCCATTCCTGAGCCCAGGGCTCACTGTTCTCTACTAATCACTTCTTCTCACAGGCTGGCTGGGCTGCTCTTGGGCATGGCTTTGGCCTTTCAGGCAGCCAGACCGATACGGAAGTCTTTGTGACAGGTCCATCTGGCCATGGTGCGTTACCACGAGGGCGGGCGCTTCTGCGAGAAGGATGAGGAGTGGGATCGAGAGTCAGCCATCTTCCACCTGGAGCATGCAGCTGACCTGGGAGAACTGGAGGCCATCGTGGGCCTAGGCCTCATGTACTCTCAGCTGCCCCACCACATCCTGGCTGATGTCTCTCTGAAGGTGAGATGATGTGTGGACCCAACCTAAAGGGCTCGGCCAGCCCATCACTCACCACCCACATCCTAGTGGTTACCTACTGGAGGATTTGTTTTGTTTTGTTGTCTGAGGCAGGGCCTGACTATGCAGCTGTAGCTGTCCTGGAACTCACTATGTAGACCAGGCAGGCCTTGAACCCACAGAAGTCTGCCTGCCTCAGCCTCCTGAGTGCTGGGATTGTAGGCATATATTACTCTGCCTGGGTTCAGCTAGAGGATTTTTATGGGCAGTCAAGCATGGTGGCTCACACCTGTAATTCTAGCATTAAGGAGGCTGAGGCAGAAAGATCAATAGTTTGAGGCCAGCCTGGGCCATGCATATGACAAATGTCTCAGTGATGCTGTCATCTATCATGTATAGGAAAGGCCAGCTCCACAGTACCCATTATTATCTGACTCTCGAAATAAAGGATTCTGATTTTTGGTTTGGGGTCAGTCACTTCAGAGGTAGAATTGACCTCTATCTTTGGTCAGTAAGTCCAAAGGTAAGGTAACAAGTCACAGGTCCATGTAATAAATGACAGGATATGCTAGGAAAAACAGACATCCTGGAAATAAATGAGGAAGAGCCCTGCATGGGGCTTTGTTGGGTCTGTGTTTATCTTTTGACCATGCTTCTGCCACATTGCTATAGCTGGTACAGAGTCTGGCACTCAGAAGGTTCTCATTCATTCAGGGATGGATGGGAAAGGGCTGGCCATGTGAGGCAGACAGAAAGGCCCCGTGGGAGTGAGCTAGGCAGAGTGTGAGGAGAGCCGCTCTCTGGGTTAGAGAAATCATGCACGCTCAGACTGATGCCCAGGGGTAAGAAGCAAAATGGTGACAGAAATCATTAGTGCTAGGGTGTGGGGTGAGGGAAGGTGGGAGGTGGGGCTGAAGCACCAAGATGGTGGTGTGCTAGAGGTGGTGTTAGGGTGGGTGCTAGGGCCGCCTAGCCCCCCACCCCCGCCCCTTCATGGTCCTCGGGCACGGGAAGAAAGAGTTGAATAGTCGGGGCCTGGAAAAGCTTTCTGTGAGAAATTGAGCGTCAAGTGGGTGTATCTGTTCTTCTCTGTTCCCATCTGTCCTGTTGTAGTGGTGGAGGCTGTGACTAGTTAGAAGGCTGGACAAAGCCAAACTCAACACAGGCTCAGGGCCTAGCCCTCTTCAGAGCTGACTGTGGCCAGCAACTGGGTGGATCTCAGGCTAGCAGAGGGTGGAGAAGAATGTGCTGGAGACCTTTGTTTCACTTTTTGAACAAGTAATGCATTATTGTCATTCTTTTTAAAAAAAGTTTAAGTGTGTGCATATGTGTGTGTGCGTGTTTGTATACATGCATTTCCCAAACCATGTACATGGAGATCAGAGGACAACTTGTAGGAATAGGTTCTCTTCCACCCTGTGAATCCCAGGGGTCAACTTAGGCTGTCAGGATTGAGGGCAGATGCCTTTACCTGCTGGAGCAGCATGTCGGCTCCTAATAATTTTAATATTAAAAGTGTTCACAGCAAAAAAAGTCTCTCTTGCCTTTTCCTTCCTTATTCATTACCTGCTCCCTTTCACCCCTGCCTTCCTTCTCCGTTCTCTTACTCTCCCCCTATTCTCTCTCTTTTCCTGGGGATGAAATCTAGGGCTTTGTACATGCAGGGTAAGCTCTCCACCACTGAGCCACACCTCCAGGGCCATTTTTCCATTTTCTAAAATAGCAGATTAACTATTTGACTGACTCCTCGGGTGTTGTTTCATAAATGCACTAGTTACCTGAGACCCTCACTACAGATTACCTGAGAGTACAGCAACAGAAACATTCTGGGTACCAGTGACAGCTGTGCTCCCACTGGGGGCTCTGGAGAACATCCTTGTCTCTTACAGTCTCCCCAGAAAAACATCCAAAGTCAGGCATGGGGATGCACCCTGCCATCCTAGTACTCAGGAGGCTGTGACAGAAGGATTGTGAGTTCCTTGTCAACCTGGAGCTAACAGGTTTGGCCCTGTCTGAAACAACCAGCTGTGTAGCCATGTGTATTTGTGTACATGTGTGCACACGAATATCTTCACAGCCGCGTTGCTGTCTCCCGTCAGTGGATGAGCAGGTAAAGACAATGGGATGGAATAGCGTTTGATCGGGAGAAACAAGTACAGTCATGCTTCAGCCTGTGGCAGAAGCCAGACACAAAAGGCCACATGTTATGTCATTTTAATCCACTCCATGTATATGACACATCCAGAATCCACGGAGACAGAAAGTGGACCAGTCATTGTGACCCTGGCTGGGATAGGATGGAGGGAAGGGTATAGGGAAAGCTTGTGAATAGTGGGGTATGGTATTTCTTTTTGAACTTGTTAAGTTATTCTGAAATTGGGCCAGCAAGATGGCTCAATGGGCAAAGGCACTTGCCACAAACCCTGACAACTTGAGTTCAATCCCTGGATCCCACATGGTGGAAGGAGAGAACCAACTCCCACAAAGTTGTCTTTTGACCTTCACACATGCAAACTCATGCACAGCAAATAAGTAAGTAAACATAATAAAAAATTTAGGGTTTGGTTTTGTTTAAGACAGGGTGTCTCTGTATAGCCCCAACTGTCCTAGAACTCTCTCTTGTATACCAGACTGGTCTCAAACTCAGAGATCTCCTACCTCTGCCTCCCTAGTGCTGGAATTCAATGACATGCACCACCACAACCTGGCTAAAATTTAGTTTGTTAAATCCATGGTGGGGATAACTGAACAAGTCTACCAATATACTTAAAGCCATGGACATGTTCTATGGCAGTCCCAGCCCAGAACTCTTACAACTTAAGAAACTGGAGATTGACAAGGGAGCCCTTTATACACACACAGACACACACACACTCACACTCATTAGCTGTTTGTGCCCTTGCTTTTTGACAGGAGACAGAAGAGAACAAGACAAAAGGCTTTGATTACTTACTGAAGGCGGCAGAAGCTGGTGACAGGCAGTCCATGATTTTAGTGGCCCGAGCTTTTGACACTGGCCTGAACCTCAGCCCAGACAGGTACTGTGACTGTCTCCTGATGATGTTGGGGTAATCTGGGCCACTTGAGATGCTTTTCCTTTCATTCACGATGGACGTGGGTTCTAGCTCTGTCTGTTATCAATCCAGTGACCTTCAATAAGTTATTTTACTTCCCTGGCCTCGGTTTCTTTCTTTGGTAAAATAGGAATAATGATGTCATCTATCGTTATGTGATCTCATGAAGATAAAATACCTTCCCTGCAGTGCCTGACAGAGAAAGTGTGCAATAGATGGCAGCTATTTTGCCAGGATCTGTAAAGATTTGCTTTGGGGAAAAAAGTCAGAAATATTAAACAGTTCAGTATGATTGTCCATAGAGAATAGAGTTTGGAGTGATTTTTGACTGCCTTTTTCTGCTTTTATTTGTAAAGGTTTAAGGCTTTTCTACACCCACCTTTGCTCTAAAAAAATGACCTGGAGACCTAGTATGTTTATTAATAAGCTTCTTGCACGATAGCTGGGCAGGGCTCACATCAATTCTAACCTTACTATGCTGCTGCCTACTACCCAGCCACATGTCCTGTCACCTGACATCTTAGTCTCTCCCAAGCTGTTCCTGACCCATCCCTGTCCTCATGGCAATTCTCCTGGCAACCTCATGGGGAATTGCCTCTCTCTCTCTCTGATCCCCACTAGAGACCCTCTCACTGAAATCAGAAGTTCTGCCTCTTTCTCTCCTGCCCAGCTATTGACTAATCAACTCTTTATTAACCAATCAGAAGTGATGGAGAACAGTCTTTGCACAACATTGAGACAGGAGATGCTTGACACTGATGCAGCGTCAGGACTGCAACCAGACCTCTGGGCACAGCAATCAGCATCTGAATACACAGTACACAAAACCATCTCTCAACTCTTGCTTTGATTGTATTCTTATGATGCAGCATTGCAGATTATATCTAGGGCCTCACAGGTGGCACTATGCTCCCCATCTAAGAGGGGTGAGCCGGAAGGAGGAAGCTCCAAGTGTGTTTCCCTAGTGGTTCTGAGGCTCTTGAAGGTGCCAGCAAACCAACTGTCAGTATTCCTCATTGTGAGGCTGAAATGCTCGGGCCAGTTTCTGCAGTGTGAGGAGTGGAAGGTGTCTGGCTTCCTCTTGGCTCTTTGGTGTGGCCTGAGAGATCGTTGAATCCAAGAGCAGAAGTCAGTGATAGAACCGACTTCATAATGGAACCATTGCTGATTCTCTATGGATCCCACAGGAGCCTGGCTTCCCAGGAGCCTTCCAAGGCTTTCTAGAAGGGAACAAAAAGGATACATATTTTTTCTGTATGTCCATATTGTGATAGCTGAGCAGGAACCTTCTCTTTAGTGCCAAGAATTCATCTCCCATGCTGGAGAGATAGCTTGGTCAGTAAATTGTTTGCCTTGAACACGAGGAGTTGAGTTTGATCCCCTAGAACACATTAAGAAAATGTTGAATGGGAATTGGTGGCTCTCCATGCTTCTTCGAGAGGTTCAGGTCAGTGATAGACCCTGTCTCAAAAGAAAAAAATAAAACAAAACAAAACACCAAGATGGATAGCACCTGAGGAAGGACACTCATTTGTCCTTCACCATCTGGCTTTCTTCATACCAATGCACATGTTTACCAGTCATCAACACACACACACATGTCTAGCACCTTAGGAACCACACCGAGGTTGTCTGCTGGCCAATATATGCATACAAGTGCATGTGCGCGCACTTGAGCACACACACACACACACACACACACACACACACACACACACACATACGACTTTTTCTTTACTGGATTGCAAAGAGAAGCCATGTCTGTGGTTGTTCCATATCAAGCTCTTAGGGTCAAAAACTTTGGCGTGTGACATCTGGCCTCTCTGTGCCAGGTGTCTGCAGCAGCAAGAGCTCTTGGAGAGTACTTTGAGAGGGTGGTCCGGTGTCACCGAGGACTCCCTCAGACCTCTTCTTGGTGCAGAGTGCGGGGCCTGGCTCACTGTTTCTCAGGATGAGTAGCAGCACTCATGACAGGTTGTGGATTTTGTGGATGACTAAACTGTCGTTCTGAGAAATGAAGAGACTTGCCTGAAGTCACCTACATGCTGAGTATTCAACTTTATGTGAAAGACTAAGTAGAGCCAAGGTTAGCTCCTAGACATCATACTTGCCAGCTGAGTGCTTACATTTATTTAGTCAACACACCTTCATGGAGTCTTTGTCCCTGGCCAGGCCCTGGAAACACAGCAAATGACACACAAGGCCCTTTCCTTCTTAAGGCTCATATTCTGGTGAAATAAAGCCACAAAACCATAGAGACAAGAAATCGTCAGCCAGTCATTGTTAGAGGAAACTAAGTGTTTGCAGACAGCGTCTTAGAAGGGGTGATTTAGCTGGAAGGATGCAAAGGTAGGTATGGACAGAGTTAGGAGAAAGACGTTCTAGGTTCGAGACAACAGAAGTTCAGGGGCAGGCGGGTACTGGCTTGGGAAGATTGCAGATCTGGCATGGAAAGGGGTAAGCTGGCATAGAGTAGAGGGTGGAGGAAGCCAAGGCTTGCCAGTCAGGATGAAAGTCACCTAGAGCCACTGTTCTCAGCATGTGCTATAGCCCTTCTGGCAGACTTTGTCTCTGCCCTTGGCAATGTACAGTAAATAATCCCTCAGACGGGTGACACCCAAAGAGAAGCAGCCAGCTGCCGTGTTAGCTCTGTGGTTTGTGTTGTAAAGCTCTGGCTGGGACCTAGGTGTCTCCTTGGTGGTTTGGCATATGTGTGTTACTGTAGATTAAGGAGCTGGAAATCTAGTAAGACAGTCTCCGTGTGCAGTGGAGAACAGGACCAGCTGGCACAGGCAGAGCCTAGTGGGGCTGGCTGACTGTGTGGTAGATCCTGTAGTCTAGTCCTTGGGAGGCTGAGGCAGAAGCATGACTCTCATAGGCCAGGCCAACCTACATAGACCTTGTTACCAAATAAAAAAAATAGGGGTCTGGTTTATTTCTGTTAATTCAGCAGCAGTTCTCAGCCTGTGGATCACGACCCCTTTGGGATCAAATGATTCTTTCATGGGGGTTGCCTAAGATCATCAGAAAACACAGATATTTATATTACAATTCATAACAGTAGCAAAATTACAGCTATAAAGTAGCAACAAAAGTGACTTTATGGTTGGGGTCACGACAACATGAGGAACTGTATTAAAGGGTCACAGCATTAGGAAGGTTGAGAACCACTGTTCCAGAGGCTTCAGCATCGTCCCTCCTCTGCCACCCTTAATGTTACTCAGGTAAAGGGCAGCATAGCAGGGACACATGCGCTGTGGTGTCTAGGCCATGGGATATTAGGTACAGGCTTAGATCAATGCAACCCTTCCCCAAAGTATTCTCCTTCCATTGATGAAAGAGCTACTATACTGTACCAGCATTGTTAAAGGAAGATCCCTTTAAAAAATATTGAAACTGAGGCCAGGTGGTGGTGGCACACCTTTAATGTCACCACTCAGGAGGCAGAAGCAGGCAGATCTCTGAATTTAATGCCAGCCTGGTCTATGAAGCAAATTTCAGGACTGCCGGGGCTACACAGATAAAGCCTGTCTTGAAAATCCCAAAAGGAAGGAAGGGAGGGAGGGAGGGAGGAAGGAAGGAAGGAAGGAAGGAAGGAAGGAAGGAAGGAAGGAAGGAAGGAAGGAAGGAAGGAAGGAGAAACAAACAAACTGGGGTTGGAGAGTATACTTGGAGGTTAAGCACTTGCTTTTCTTCCAGAGGACCCGAGTTTGGTTCCCAGTATGCAACAGGATATTCACAACCACATGTAATTCCAGCCCCAGGGGATCCAGTTCCTTCTTTTGGCCTCAATGTACAACTATGTGCACACTCAGGAACATATAAATCTAAATATATATATGTATATATGTATATATATGTATGTATATGTATATATAATCTACAATATGGTGGCCTTTGATACTGTAGTTTGTAGCTCAGAAGTAGTGGCCCCCTGGGATCCCAGGCTTGCCCATCCAGCTCAGTGGTCCTCTGCCTTCCCACCCCACTGCCATGGTAATATCGTCCTCCCTTCCTGTCTCCTGGCAAGGTGTCCAGACTGGTCAGAAGCCTTGCACTGGTACAGCACGGCTCTGGAGATGACGGACTGCGATGAAGGCGGGGAGTATGATGGGATACAGGACGAGCCCCAATATGCACTGCTGGCCAGGGAGGCGGAGATGCTGCTCACGGGGGGATTTGGACTGGACAAGAACCCCCAAAGATCAGGTGAGGCCCACTGACCTTCCCTGGGGCAGGATAGGTCTGGTGAAGGTCTATAGTTCTCATCCCACTGAAATTAGGATAAGTTGCTTTCCACAGTAGGGGACTCTGTGGGCCTGGTATGTAGATGAACATTTTAGTTTTACTTTGTCATCTTTTATTTTATATGTATGTTTATATGTGTGCCTGGTACCCTCAGACACCAGAAGAGAGTTAGATCCCCTGGAACTGGAGTTAACAGGCAGTTGAGAGCTGCCTCATGAGTGCTAGGAATCAAACCTGGGTTCTCTGCAAGTGCGGCAGATGCTCTAACTGCTGAGCCATCTCTCCAGCCCTGATTTTTTTTTTTTTTTCAGTGTGACTGTACAGCCTTGGCTGGCCTGGAGTTCACTATATATATAACTCAGGCTGGCCAGAGATCCACTGCCTCCTGAGTACACACTATGCCTAGCAAAATTAAAATTTACTTTATTATTTCAGGCTTGTGGCAGTGAGGTGGAGGGGGGCAGAGAGAGAGATACCTGAGGAGGGAGAAGAAACTCTCTGATCCTGTAGAGCTGGAGTTCCATGTGGTTGGGAGCTACCTAACATGAGTGCTGAGAACTCAATTCTGGTCCCTTGCTATTAACTGGGAACCAGTTTTCCTGGCCAGTGGATCTCAAACTCACTGTGTAGCTGAGAGTGACCTTGGACTTCTGATCCTTTTGACTTCCCCTCTCATGTGCTAACACCACAGGCTCAAGCTCGAGGACCTGAATTTGAATACCAAAACCCTCTTTAAAAAAAAAAAACAAACAAACCACAGTGAGGGCCAGGCAGTGGCGGTACTGCCTTTAATCCTAGCCTACAGAGGGTAGGCAAGCAGGTCTTTGAGTTCAAGGCCAACCTGCAAAGAGAATTCCATGACAGCCAAAGCTACACAGAGAAGCCCTGTTTTGGGGACTGGGGGAGAGAGAGCAGGATGTGGTATTAATGTATTATCCCAGCCTTGGCCTGGCAAAGAGAAGTGGATCCTGGGGGCTTACTGGCCAGCCAGTGTAGCTGAAATAGCAAGCTCCAGGTTCAATGGGAGAGAGACCTTGCCTCAAAAAAAAATAAAGGGACAACGAAAAGTAGAGGGTGGGTCTGAGGTCATGCTGGCAACCTAAGTTTGATCATCAAAACCCATGTAAATGTGAAAGGGGGGCAGTGACTCTACAGGATTGTCCTCTGACCTCACACCTACATATGGCACATGTACCCCACCAATACTTAAAATAAAGGGAGGGAAGACAAAGGCATTCCATATCAAAATATAAGTATATGAATTAAATAAGAATACAGTCAGTCTTCCCAGTCACAGGCTTTGCATACATAGACAAAGAGACTTACTCTCTTTACTTATTTTGTGTGTTTCCGTATGCACATACATGCCACAGCACATGTGTGAGAACCAGAGGGTAGTTGTGGGAGTCAGTTCTTTCTTTCTACCATGTGGGTCCCAGTGATCATCGTGAGGTCGTGAGCCTGGCAGCAAGTGCCTTTACCTGATGAGCCATCTCACCGGCCTCCCCCAGAGATGTATTTTTTAAATTGCACCTATAAAGCTTGTTGCAGTGGTGCTCGCCTGTAAACCCAGCATGGAGGAGGAGGATGAAGAAGATCCCAAGTTTCAGGCCAGTCAGGGCTACATAGACCTGTCCCAAAAGAAGCAAAACTATTTGCATCTGTATCAGATTATACATAGACTTTTCCAGCTATTCTCCGTATGTGTTGCATTTCCATTGCTGTGATAGACTGCCCTGACAAAAACAACTTAAAGAAGAAAGGATTTATTTTGGTTTATGGGTCCAGAGGGGATTTTGGCTTACAGTCCATCGTGGTGGGAAGCTCGGCATCAAGAACCAGAGGCTGTCTCAGTAGTTGGGAAGCAAGATGATCCGATGTCATCCACACAGGAAGCAGAGAGAGAAAAAACAGGAAGTAGGGCAGGCTATAAAACCTCGAAGCTGTCACACTTCCTCCTGAACGCTCTGTACCCTTCCCAGAGAGCATCACCAGCTGAGGATGGATGTTCAAGCCCTGAGCCTGTGGGGGAGAAGATCCATATGTAAATAGGACACACTCTCTGATTCAAGATTTTGCTAGACTTGGTGGATCCTGGAAACACCTTCCCCCCAGTGAAAGGCAATTATATATTAGAATTTATAGGCAGGCTTTGCAATTTTAAAAATGAAGTTGAAATTCATAATATTTCATCTCCCATCACTATGACCAAACTTTACACAATCTCAAACCCTAAAAGAAATCCTGTGCTAGTTAACAGTCACTTCCAGGACCCCCTCCTCAGTAGTCACTAATCCACGCTCTGTCATTAAGGATTGCCCTGTTCGGGACTCAGTTTACCACTGGAATCACACAATACGTGGCCTTTCGGGTCTGCCTTCCTTACTTAGGATCTCTCATCTTTGCTCTCTGTTTTGAGACAAGGTTTTGTGTAATCCCGCTGGTTACAAACATATCTCAGCTTACACTGTAATTACAGGCATGCACTACCTTTCCTGGCTCATTCCTTCTATATTAAAAACATTTTTATCATCTATGTGTGTGTGCATGTGGAGTTCAGAGGGCAGCCTGTGGGGATTCACTCCTGCCACCATGTCAGTCCTAGGGACTGAAGTCGGCATCAAGCTGACAGCCATCGTCTTTGCACACAGATTTCTTTTCTGTTGTTACTCTTTTATTACTTTTATTCTGTTATCTTATAATTATCCCATCTTTTATTACTATGATTATTACTAAGTAATATGCCACTCAGTAAATTAAGCCATGTTTCTGATGGACATGTAGATTTTTTTTTAAAACTTAAACTTTTTATTATTTGTATGTACATGCATGTGTGAATGTATCCCAAGTGTATATACATTCCCATGAAGTCCAGAAGAGAGTGTCGGAGCCCCAGCTGTAACTGGAGTTACAGGCACTTGTGTGCTGTCCCATGAGGACACTGGGAACTGAGATTGGGTCCTCTTAAAGGCAAGCAAGCATTCTTAACTGCTGGACCATCTTTTTAGTTCCCAACATTAGATACATCTTTTCAGTTTTGAGCTGTCATTTAGACTGCCTTGGACAACAAATTTCTTTTTCAGGGATGGGGTGTGGCTCAGTGGTAGAGCTCTTGCCTGGCAGGTAAGCGCTTGAGTTCCACAGCCACACCAGAGACTAGAAGAGTGCTCTGGCTGGTCAGCTTTCAATGTATGCTACCTACCCCCCAGAGACTTGGATTATACCATACAGCTTGGGTTGCTATAGAAACCTCAGATGCTCTCTTGGGTGAGATGAAATTTGCTAGCTTGATGGGGACAAGTGGCTCACCTCTTTGTCCCCCACTCCGTTCTCTTTCAGGAGACTTGTACACCCAGGCAGCCGAGGCAGCCATGGAAGCCATGAAGGGCAGGCTAGCCAACCAGTACTACGAGAAAGCGGAAGAAGCCTGGGCCCAGATGGAGGAGTAACTGTCCCACAGGATCACTGCCAAGAAGAAGGGCTGGGGAGGGGAGGATGGGACTCATTTCTTTTGGGAGGGGAAAAGTAGTTTTACTATTATATAAATTCACTTTTGTATTCCATTTTTTTTTGACTCTTGACAGTCTTTGCAACTGGCAGAGACATTATAACTGCTCTTTTAGGGGTGGTATTTTGGGGGGCTGGGGGGTTAAAGATGCAGCCTAATGAATTCCTCCCACCCCTTTTTTTCTTTTTTTGTTCTGAGATGTAAACAAGTATCTTTCTGTCTGAATGAACAGACAGTATCGGGGCTTCTCTCGCCAGCCTTTGCAGCCAGGACTCGCATCTCAGGGTCTCCAGGCCGTGTGCTAGGAGTACAAATGGAGGAGAATAGAGAGCCTTCTATTAACTTTTTGTTTTTGAGTTTTGAGAGGGGTGTGCAGTGTATCTTTCCCCCAGTGGGTATGAGGTCATTCACTACCCAGGCTCCTTTGCTCGGGGGGAGATGGTTGTGGAAGTCTTTCACCTAATGTCTTTCCACCGGGCACATGATTTCTTGACATCCATCCAAATTCCTTTTTTTATTTTTTATTTTTTATTTTTTGACCTGTATCGACTATAGATTTTACAGAACAGGTTTGGCCTTTATACATGCATATTTACTACCTCTGAGTCCTGCATCGGTGCATGTGGAAGCAGATGAACCTCAAAGCTTTCACAGTAAGACCATGGGTTAGGAGCTGAGCGATTTTCCTCCAAACAGAAGTGCCCTCTGCACCCCATGGCCACATCCACTATGGGACTGAAGCATCCTTGTGCAGAATTCCATGGTCGTTTCTTTTTTTCTTTCTTTTTTCCTTCTTCGAGACCGGGTTTCTCTGTATAACCCTGGCTGTCCTGGAACTCACTCTGTAGACCAGGCTGGCCCCAAACTCAGAAATCTGCCTGCCTCTGCCTCCCAAGTGCTGGGATTAAAGGCGTGCGCCACCACTGCCCGGTTCCATGGTTGTTTCTTAATGCGATATATCATGGACTCTCTCAGCCTGCTGTCCCTGGCATTTTCTGCTTGAAACTAGGTTTTACTTACTTGACACTAGGTCATCTGCAGCAAGTGGCTTCCAGCTGCAGCCCCTTGGGATTTGTTTGGGAATGAGGGGACAAGAGTGTAAACACTGACTGGGTCTGGGCATTTCCCCAGGGTCAGGCTGGGATTTTAATGAGCTTTCTCTTTAAAAGGAGTTCAGATTTAATGGGAGTGTGATTTCAGCCACAGGAAAATTGCCCACTTTGATTGACCACCAATATTAGATCTACCACCTCTATTTTTGTTTAAAAAACAGAACAGCAGAGTGGGACATGCAAGCCAGTCTCATCTGTTGGCTAAAACAGGCCTTTTAAGGATTTCACTGTTGAGTCTGCCCAGTCAAAAACTTGTGGAAGCATTAAATTCTGAAGTCTAAAGTGTATGTCTTTTGAGGAAAAATCAGAGTCAATTTAACCTTGTGGGCTGGGAGCCATGGTATATACCTGTAATCCCAGCATTCGGGTGGTAGAGGAAGAAGGATCAAAGTTTGAGGCCAGCCTGGGCTATATAATGAGATCCTGCCCCAGAAACAAACAATAAAAAGAGCCAGTAAAGATGGCTCAGTGGCTGAAGCTCCTCCCGCCCCTCGCCTGACAATCTGAGTTCTGTTCCTGAGACCCACATGTGGAAGCAGGGAACAAATTCCTGCGAGTTGTCTTCTGATCTTCACCTGTGTGGTGTGTCACAAGGGAGCCCACAAACACACACAACTGTAAGAGAAATGAAATAGCAAGAACTACCTTTGAAAACTCCTTTTATCTACCTGCAAGTTAAAAATTCCCGGGTTTGCATTAAAAGCCATAACAGCCGGTTCTCTATGGCAGGTTGGCCCTTGCTGTGTTTTATCAGTACCAGAACAGTAGCTGGCTTACACTGTCCTGCGGGTGTTCTAACTTAGGGCATGTGCTAAACATAAGAAGCAGTTTATTGTGACATAATCTCTCAGAATAATTGTCATATAAGTTATGGTGTGTGTGTGTGTGTGCGCGCGCGCGTGGGCAAGCGCACTGGTCAGCAGACAACCTCAATTTTGTTCCTCAGGAGCTGGCCACCTTTATCCTTTGAGTCTCTCGCTGGCCTAGAACTTGCCAAAAAAGCTATGCTGGCTGACCAGTGAACTGCAGAGATTTGTCTGTCTTACCCTTCCTAATTCTGGAATTGAAAGCTCACATCCTTTACCCATTGATTAGCCCTTGTCTGGACCACTTAAAGCCTCAGGCCTGCAGTTCCACCACCCACATAGCCTTGATGTGAGGAAGTGGTCTCTTTCTCCTCCAAGAGGCTGGGATAGCCTGGTGCACAGCTAAGCACATGCTTCTTTAAGGACCCTTGCAAATGAAAAGGGAGCTTTGAGAGCCTGCTGTGTATTCTGAGCACTTGGAGGCCGAGGCTGGATTGTGAGTTTGAAGGCAGCCTGGATTTTTTCTAAGACTGTGTCTAAAAAAGAAAAAGCCCTGGAGGCTGGAGAGATGCCTCCGTGGTTAAGTGCGTTGACTGCTCTTCCAGAAGACCCAGGTTCAATCTCCAACACCTACCTGGCAGCTCACACCTGCCTGTCTGTAACTCCACTTGTAAGGGATCCGATGGTCTCACACAGACAAACAATGCGGGCAAAACACCAATGCACATAAAATAAAAATAAATCATAAAAAAATGTAATTCAAACCTGTAATCTCAGCACAGCACTTGGGAGGCTGAGGTGGAAAGGTCACTGTGAGTTTCATGCTAGCTTGGGGTACATAATGACTTCCAGTTATACCTGAGTTACTGAGTGAGATTCTGGCTTTAAAATTACATCAACTTGCAAGGTATTCAGGCTTTCCTGCAGAAATGGCTATTCTCCTTCCAAACCTAGTCTTAACACCTTCAAAAGCAGGTCAGGGCACCTTCTCTTTCCATATTTGCTGGGCGTGACAAGAACAAGCTGACAGGATTCAGCTCCCTGGCAGGGAGACACCAGTACCTGGCATTTATGCTCAATTCTCTCTTCCAGTGCCCAGAGCAGGTAACAGCCTAGATTAGCGGAGCTGATATGTGCACTTTCATCTCAAAGACAGAAACCAGGCTTCAGCGATGCTGCTCGCTGGAGGCTGAGCTGAAGCTAGGGTCCAGAGAGCTTCTGTGTCCAGAGAACTCAGGGAATAAGAGCATTTAACTGTAATGTGATGGCGCATTCCATTCTGCAACAGGTGATAGAGGAATTTAAATGAGATAGGATTGGAGTGAGTATGTACCTAGCATACAGTCAAGGTCCTGGGTTTGGGCCCTGGCACTACAAATAATACAAGCTTTATGGGTATAAAAAAGAGAAACATTCTCAGACTCACCACTTCGGAATAATCATGCTCTCTGCATGCTAGACCAGCCGGACGGTGAGATGCCCTGGTTGCTTAGTGATTTTCCCATCTGTCCTTGCTGTCTGTCATCCCAGCATCTTTGTATTATCAGTAAGTGTGGTTTGCAGATTCACAAGCGTTTGCACAAGCTTATGAAGCTTGAGATGGATTTGAATGAGGGAGATGGGGGGACAAATGTACCCATTCCCTGCTTGGATTTGTGTTCTTCTTCCTTACATTTTGTCTCTGACCTCCTCAAGGCAACTGGCACACACCTTCAACATGAGTTCCGTTGTCCACAGTGTGACCCCAACGTGGTTCCATGCTGGCTTTTCATAGTAGAAAAACTTCTTAATGTGATGCCTCTTGGTTTTTAACATCTGTAATAAATTCTAATAAAGAAAGCCTTCCGGACCTGGCCCTTATGCTATCAGTTTGCTTTAGGTTAAAAAAAGTGGATGCAGAGGCCAGAGAGATGGCTCAGCAGTTAAGAACACTGGCTGCTCTTACAGAGGACCTGGATTCAGTTCCCAGCGCCCCCATGGCAGGTCATAACTGTTCTAGGGGATCCAACATCCTCACCCAGACATACATGCAAGCAAAACACCAGTGCACATAAGCATATGTGGATGCTTTTGATGTGTCCCTCTATAAAAACAACAAGCATTACCTCTGAAGGTTTGTCATGAGCTTCTGAGAAAATCCTGTGCACTTGGTCCTTTCTCGTGGAGAGCATCAAAGCTGTCTGGTGTGGTCATTTGGATTCAAGATAATAGGGGTTGGTTGGTTGGTTGGTTTGGTTTTGGTTTTAGGAAATTTGAATTTTAATTGCATGACAGTTAATATATCCAATGATAGGGGATTTTTTTAAAAGATTTATTTCATTTATTTCATGTATATGAGTACACTGTAGCTGTCTTCAGACACACTAGAAGTGGACACTGGATTCCATTACAGATGGTTGTGAGCCACCATGTGGTTGCTGGGAATTGAACTCAGGACCTCTAGAAGAACAGTCAGTGCTCTTAACCTCTGAGCCATCTCTCCAGCTCCAGGGGATTTTTTTAAAAAAATATGTTTTTGGGACAAGCCCATAAGGACAAAAGACAAAGGAGTCAACAACAAAAGTCTGGAGACAGGAAAATGCATGGCTACCAACATGTCAGCAGACCCAAGATCCAAAGCCCCCAGGCTAGGTATGGGGGCTCATTGTGTAACCCCAGCACTGGAGAAGCTGGAGCAGGGAGATTCTGAGTTTAAAGCCAACCTCAACTACACAGTAAAGTATCTCAAAACCCTTAAAAAGAAACAATAACTGTCTCAAAAAAAAAAAAACAAATAAAAAGGAAAAAGAAAAAGAAAACAAACCCATGACTAAACCTAAAGCCGTGGATCAACGGAAAGAACAATGAATCATCGAACCACCGATCAGACCAGTTTGCCTGTAGCCCTTGTGTTGAGGGTGGTGGGTCAGTGTCCTCCGCATCCTCCTGCAGCCTGGGACATCAGGCACAATGAAGTGGAGATTCTTTGCGTGAGGAGTGAAGAGAAATTCCCAGCGTCAATATAAAAAAGGCTCCAGTGGCCTTTTCCTGTGTCCTGGGCACTGTCTATTTAACTTCCAATTTAATGGCAGAAAACAGCTGTAGGAACCTCTAAGGGTATCGGATGAATTGAAATTAACACAGATACTGTCCCTGGTGAAACCCCACAGGGAACACCACAGCCATCAACCCTCCCCCTCACAGAACTTTCCAGACAACTTAGAGCCCCGTTCTCAATCTCCGCAGATAGCTAAGTGTCAGCATGTGAAAGTCACGTTTGAGGAGCTGGACAGTAGCTCTGCAGCTAGGAGCACCTGTTGCTTTTTCAGAGGCTGCAGATTCAATTCCCAGCACCTATGTGATGGCTCATAACCTTCTATGCATCCAGTTCTGTGGAATCCAATGTCTTCTCCATAGCACCAGGCATGCATGATGCACACATGTGCAAGACACCCACACACGTAGGCCAAATTATATATACATATATACATATATATAAAACAATTGAGTGTGAAAGGGCAGACAGTAGAATAAAGCATTTCAGAGAAAACTGGATTAGGAATGAGGTATAGTGCTTTGCACATTTAATATAGACTAAATGATCAATATTTGGGATACAAGTTTAACTTTTATTTTCTGTTTATTATTTGTGATTATAATGCTATACTGTAATCTTAAAGGATCAATTTTGATATTGGTTATGTCCATGGCAAACACTCACCTCAAAGGGTATGACAAGAGGTTGTTTAGTCTGAGGCTAAATAGGTCATCCCAAATTCAATCTAACATGGTAACTTGGATGAAATTATGTAGTAACAGAACAAAGGAAGTCTTTGAAGACAGGACTTGCAAAATATGGGTGAAAACATTAGGTAGATGGCTTAAAACAAGAGGGACAAATTTCTGTTTGTTTGCTTCACAGACAAGAAGGCAATAAATGTCTGGGTAGTGGTGGTGCACGCCTTTAATCCCAGCACTTGGGAGGCAGAGGCAGGTGGATTTCTGAGTTCGAGGTCAGCCTGGTCTACAGAGTGAGTTCCAGGACAGTCAGGGCTACACAGAGAAACCCTGTCTAGAAAACACCAAAAACCAAAAAAAAAAAAGAGAAGGCAATAAATGGCCACTAACAGGGCTAAAAGATGGCCCAAGATACTATAGCTCTGGGCTTGTAATGTCCCAACCTCTCTCTGCTCAGCCTTGCACAAGGGTCGGTGGAAAGTAGAGTATTTTCAGGAATTTTATTCACATTTAAATATGAGCTTTTGCCTGTAACTGCAGCACTCTGAATATTTAGGCAAGAAGACTGTGAGTTTGAGGCCATCTTGGGCTACTGAGACTGTCTCAAAAAATATTCTACCACCAACACAATTCCTTAGACATATAGACAAGTCCACCTCCTCAGTATGGCTACCATATACTAGTCACTTTCACAGCATTTTACTTTTGTTTTTGTTTTATATACATATGTGTGAGTGCTGGAATTAAAGGCATGCAACACCACACCCAGCTCACAGTGAATTCTTTATTTTTAATTAATTAATTAATTAATTTCGATTTATTTTTTGAGACCCAGTTTCTCTTTTCTCTGTATAACAGCCCTGGTTGTCCTAGAACTCACTTTGTAGACCAGGCTGACCTTGAACTCACAGAGATCTGCTTACCTTCCTTACCTCCTTTGCCTCCTGGGTACTGGGATTAAAGGTATGTGCCACTACACCCTGCTGAAAAAAATATTTTTATTTCGTGTGTATGCATGTTTTGACTGCATGCTTTTCTGCATGATGTGTGTGCAGTACCTGTAGAGACCAGAAGAGGGTGTTGAATTCACTGGAGCTGGAGTTACAGGTTTTTGTAAAATGAGAGTTTTGGGAATTGAACCTTGGTCCTCTGGCAGAATAGCCAGTGCTCTTAAATACTGAGCCATCTCTC